TGGACGCCAAAAGACCAAATAACAGGAGGAAAAGAGAACATATATATATATATATCGTAAAATAAAGGTAGCCTAAACAAAATGTTGGGGAATGCCAACAGACAGTGGGAAAGAGAGTGAGGTAAAGGTAAAGGACCCCTGGATGGTTAAGTCCAGTCAAAGGCGGCTGTGGGGTTGCAGTTCTCATCTCGCTTTCAGGCCAAGGGAGCCGGCGTTTGTCCACAGACAACTTTCCGGGTCAGATGGTTAGCATGACTAAACTGCTGCTGGTGCATGGAGGACCATGACAAGTGCCAGAGCGCATGGAAACACCGTTTACCTTCCCACCACAGCAGTACCTATTTATCTACTTGCACTGGCATGCTTTTGAACTGCTAGGTTGGCAGGAGCTGGGACAGAGCAACGGGAGCTCACCCCGTTGCGGGGATTCAAACCGCCAACCTTCTGATCGGCAAGCCCAAGAGGCTCAGTGGTTTAGAGCACAGTTAACCATTAGCAGAAGCATTGATGGAGTGATGAGAAGGATACAACTGCAAGCAAAAGCAGAACAAGAAACCTAGAGAGACCAGGCGTGAAGCGAACAAGATACAGGGTATCAAATTGTGCCACAATTGTCTGTGTGGTGTGGAATACCTAGAAGGACATGGGGAAAATCCATGATATTTCAGCACAGAATAAGCCCAGTGAAATCATTATCAGATTAATAAGAAACCCTTCCATTGCTTTGCATCAAGACCAAAGGGCCACCCAGCTGTCAGGAAAGTGATACGTGGTTGCAGCTCTCAAAAAGGATCATTTTACAGTAGTGGGACCACTATAGAGAATACCATGATGGAAATTCAGAACAGACCTTTCAAGATTATCTCAATCCATTTCATAGAACAGTAGAATCATGGAATGGTGGAATTAGAAGGGACCCCAAGGGTCATCTGGTTCAATCCCCTGCAATGCAGGAATCATTGGCCTCCATCTGTTTTGGGAGTGTGCCTTTGGGGGTGAAGTCAAACTGTTGGAAGGTGACGATGTCTGCTGTGGCTCCCAATGCAGGTGATACATGTTTTGCAGTTGCAACAAACAACAATATGCCACTAAATGCTTCCAATTGCCAGTTGTCCTCAGGCCGCAAAAGTGAGGGGAAGTGCACTCTGACACCTGCCACTTTCCAAAATAACATGCAAAGTGAATCACAGCCATCCTCAGAAACCCACACTTCTCCGAAATTTGTGGTACAGTTCTCCAAGCCAAGTAAGTCAAGCAATGTGTACAAAAATGCACAAACCAGGGTACAGTATGCATAAATATGCATATACAGTGGTACCTCTAGTTACATACGCTTCAGGTGACATACACTTCAGGTTACAGACTCTGCTAACCCAGAAATAGTACCTTGGGTTAAGAACTTTGCTTCAGGATGAGAACAGAAATCGTGCTCCGGTGGCATGGCGGCAGCAGGAGGCCCCATTAGCTAAAGTGGTGCTTCAGGTTAAGAACAGTTTCAGGTTAAGAACGGACCTCCGGAACGAATTAAGTACTTAACCCGAGGTACCACTGTAGTCATGGAAATAACACAAATTAGGGGAAACTGGTTTTCAAAATTGTGTGTACTAGGAAAAAAAATCATATGTACATTTCTAGGCGAAATCTGCACTAATACGCTGTTGAATTTTTCATGAAGATTTGTTTTTGTTTTAAATGCATACTGACATGGAGTACTGAATTTAAATCAGGAAAAGTGAGAAACCTAGAGAAACTGAAATCAACAGATTTGTTCATCCTCTTTTAGGGGCCAGGAGGGGGAAGGTCAGGAAAGAGCGGAAATGTTACTCCCCACGTTGGTGGTGTGATCCTGACATATTCTATCACCAAAGACTGATGGTTAACATTTTGGAATCTTTGACAGGAATTCTGGAAAGCACTGCAGTCACTCTACATGACTATGTTCTCCCCAGATCTGCAATGTGCAACAAGTCTGTTCCCGCTGAATTTTTGTAATGGGCAAAGTTCAACCAATTTAGAGAATGGCTAATTATATGCATTTTACCTCCCCTTGTGATTTGACAACCTTTTCTGCGACTATCCATGTAAATAAGACAATAAATTTAGAAAACCTCCCAAGAACTGGTAAACATAGGCAGATGCTCTTTACCGCTGGTGAGTGACAGAAGTCAGCCTGCAGGAAACTGTGCCACTAATGTAGCTCTTGATTAAGCTCTAATTACACTTTTGTTATCTTAGCAGGGAGACAAAACTGTAGCAGTTCCGAAATAGGAAAGGAGCATTTTGGCACCTAGCAACCAACCTTTCTCTCATAATAGCTGTAGTGGACACTGCACTGTTACAGAGAAGGTGGTTATGGATCACTGCTCTATTATTTATAGTGCAGCCTTCGCAACAGTAGATAAATTAGCAGCTTAATAGGCTATCCCTGACTAAAAACATAGCATGTGCTATAGCCACAAGTAGGAAATTAAAAACAAAAAAACAAAAACACACACATTGTGACTCAGTTATTTGTATCATGGATAGAGAGGAATGCAATTCCCCTATCCTCTGGCATTAACCTTTCGGGAGGCAGATGTAGAACACAATGTTTTATCAGTGCTCGCTGAATGTAAGCATCAAAGCATGCAAAAGTAAAAATGACCACTACGTAAAAATAACAGTCCTTTAAGATAAAATAGCATTTACTTTAGGTAGCATATGAACCTGTAGTCATTTGAATTGACGGATACAAAGTGACATAGAATTCTTCATATGAACGACTACGGGGCTCCACGTTTCATTAACATGGTCAAACACATTTGGGGGGTTTGCAGTATTCAGTCCATTTTACTAATAAAAGAGTATCCCAAAATGTTCTCAGCCATTTTTGTTTTGAAGGCTCCTCCTCCTTCTGTGATTACTCGTAGCTGAGTAAGATTGTCTTCCATAAACACCGTTTTAACAATGAGTCCGTAAGTGACTGTGGAGGCCAATTCTGGATCCACACGTCCTTCCACAGTGGGGACATAGGTTTCTCGGTGGGAGTTGATCACAGTGTGGATTTGCCAAGCGGGCCTTCCACTTAGCATGTTTCTCCTGTGTGTCAAGTTCAAGTGTCTTCAAAGCCCACGCCACCTTTGGTAAAGGCTGTTCTCCAACTGGAGCGCTCGCAGGCCAGTGTTTCCCAATTGTTGGTGTTTATACTACATTTTTAAAAATTTGCCTTAAGGCAGTCTTTAAATCTCTTTTATTGACCACCAGCATTGCGCTTTTCATTTTTAAGTTCGGAATAGAGTAGTTGCTTTGGAAGACGATAATCAGGCATACGCACAACATGACCAGTCCAATGAAGTTGATGTTGAAGAATCATAGCTTCGACACTGGTGATCTTTGCTTCTTCCAGTACACTGGCATTAGTTCACCTGTCTTCCCAAGTGATGTGTAATTTTTTTCGGAGACACCGTTGATGGAATCCTTCGAGGAATTGGATTATGGCATTTAACTTGAAGTGAGCCACCCATGGGGGCAGAGTGAGCCACCCATGGCAGACATTCGGCGTGCTGCCTGCCCGCGACTCCCAACCCCCACCCCCTTCCTACAGCCCTGCCTCTACCTGGTTCCGCATAACTTCACTTGCCATGAAGGACCATCTCCCCCTGCATTGTTCAACTGCGAAGGCCTTCTGGTGTGTCCTTGACTGCAAGTGAAGTTACACAGACCCAGGTAGAGGCAGGGGTGTAGGAAAGGGGGGGCAGACCGTTCCAGGCTCCCTCACTGAGGGGAGTGACATTCGGCGTGCCGCCCTCCCACCGTCGGGGTAAGGGAGGCAGCTGCGCCACTTTTTTGGTGGCATTCCCCCCCTTCCCCCTTTGTTTTGACAGCTTGGGGAAGGCTTGGGAGTCGTGGGCGGGCAGTGCGCCAAATGTCTGCCATGGGCACCTTGCTCTGCCCCTGTAGGTGGCTCACTCCACCTCCCGGCTGCAGGGCATGTGTGCGTCTCCGGGCACCTGAGCGGCTATCCCACGCCTGGGAGGGCACCCTCTGCACCATGCCCACCTTGGGAGCGTGCCCGCCCTGGACAACGTGGGCATATGCTCCACCGCTGCGTAGAGGGCCTTCTCGGTAGTGGTACCTGCTCTGTGGAATGACCTCCCATCATATGTCAAAGAGATAAACAATTATACAACTTTCTGTAGACATCTGAAGGCAGCCCTGTATTGGGAAGTTTTAATATTTGACTATTTATATTTTGTTGGAAGCTGCCCCAAGTGTCTGGGGCAACCCAGTTAGATGGCTGGGTACAAATGATAAAATTATAACAACAACAACAACAACAACAACAACAACAGCAGCAGCTACAACAACAACAACAGCTACAACAATGGCTTTGAAGATAACTTCTGTTTGTCTGTGAATTAGGATCTACCTACCTATATAGCACAAATCTATTCAGACCACAAGATGCCATCTCCTTTGATGGTGTTAGGTGGTGTTCTCTAATTAGGTGATAAAGCAGCAATGCTGCTCCAAAGGTCTTTGAAGAAGTGTCTTATTAAAGAAGTAGAGTCGAACAATAAGGGTGTATTTCCTATTCCTGTTCTTCTTCTTCGTCATCATCATCATCATCATCATCTTCTCCATTTCTGCAACTGAGAGGTACAAACTCTGAAAATCTCACACCTCTCTTTCCTAGAGTCAGGGAATGATATTAACAACAACAAGAAGGCACAGTGGCCATTTATTTTTTAGTAACATTACTCCAGACTTTGATGGAAAGGAAAATCTGTTTCACTAGACCTGAATTAAAGGCACTAAGTTCTAGAAAGTTAAGGGATGAAACACTCATGTTAAAAATATGCAATGTTGCTTTCAAAGGAGCAATTTAATGAAACAGGGGTTGGACATATTTATTGGTTGCATTTATATTCCACCTTTCTGCCAAGGCATTTTACAACTCGAAAATACAAAGACAAATAAATGATATGAAATTTAAAATTAAATATGAAAATTAAAATCAGAGATAAACTTAAAACAGACTAAAACACATACCAACATTCTACATATCTGGATAGGCCTGTATAAACAGAAATGTTGTTAGCAGGTGTTGAAAAGAGTACAGTGAAGGTACCTGTCTGGTATCAATAGGCAGGGAGTTCCAAAGTCTACGTGCTGCCACCATAAAATATCAGTTTCTTACAAATGTCAAACAGGGATTAGGTGGCACCTATAGCAGTGCCAGTTCCACAAATCAAACTGGTCTAGTGGGCATATACAGGTAAACTGGTCCCAAGTTGTTAAAAGCTTTATATGATTCTGCAGTAGATGATACTACTAATCATTTACTTAGTTACTTTATACCCCAAAGAAATCTTTTAAAAATCTCTTTAAAATCACTCAAAAATCCCAACAAAAAATAATAATATAAGAGATACAATATAAATTACACAGTCAAAACCAAACAATACAACTATTACCACCACTACCACTTCCTCATTATAAGTAACATAATTAAATAAATACCTCAAAATAATGTACATGAATAAAAGAACTATTATCCACAAAAAAATAAGATGTTAAAAATATATAGACACCTCAAAATGCAACCTAAATACTATATATCATAAAATTTCATGTTTACTACAAAAATATTTACTATACATAATATAATCGATAAATCAGTCACCTACATATTGGCAGTGCACAAAACTAATTCTCACATACCCAATTATTGAACAATATCCTTCCACCAATCACATCATTGTGTATGTACGCGTACTCTCGATTTCTTTTCATGGTGGGATGTCTAAAGATTTGTTTAAAGATGACACCTTGATTTTAATGAAGTGCTTTCCAGGGGTATTTTTTTTTCAATGAAATGTTTCCCTCTGATGAGCAATTTGGAATAAATAAATCCATACTTGTATCAATACTGAAAATAAAGCCCTTTTATTAACCCTGCGGATTTATTAGACACACATAGTTAAGTATTAGAAAGAACTTTTGACACAAAGGTTTAGGATCATTAGACAGGTCAATGCAACCCTCAGTAGTAAATCAGTGCAAGGCAGACTCAGCTAACGATTTCCACCAGGCAATTTGTTTATCAATCATTATAAATCTTTGTTTAAGAAAAAACAACAACACACAGAATAAGGAAATAGGAAAAGCGTGCTCATTTACGGCCATCTCCAAATTTTATCAGACACTTCCTTCTCTCTTTCTCTGAATATCCACAGTGTAAAATATACATTTTGTATTTCACTCAAATGTAGCTAATGCTCTACAGACCTCCATCCTGATTTCCTGAGCAGTGAGTTCCATCGTCAATGGATGGTGGTGATGATGATGATCACCATTATTTATACAACACCTAAAATGTTGAAAGGGCTTCACATTTCTTAGTATTATTTGAATGGGATGTGTAGCTTTATGCTCTCCCCCCCCCCCCGGGATGCTGGGATTTAAATTCCCTGTCCAGTTGCCAGCATGAAAAGTCATTCCCCCCAGTATATGGAACACATCAAACCACAACCACCACTTCTGCCTTCTCTCTGCCCATAAGTAAGTTTCTCAGGTGCCTTGGGCAGAAGAAAAGGAAGTCCAGCTTCTTGAATACCCTGTAAAAAAAACACCTTGAACCCTTTCAGGATAAGACAAGGCTTAAAAAGCATGGATCTCTGCAGTAGCATCCAGGACTATTAGGAATCAGATTTCCCATGATCCCTGACTTCCATAGATCTTGCTGCATCCAGAGTTTCAATCCCGAAGCCTCCTGCAAGGTCTTTCTACAACAATCCCTCACCTCAACAACAATTGCACTCCTCTATTTGAGGTTTCTAAACAACAGTTTCTAAAGGGACGTGGGTGGCGCTGTGGGTTAAACCACAGAGCCTAGGGCTTGCCGATCAGAAGGTCGGTGGTTTGAATCTCTGCGACGAGGTGAGCTCTCATTGCTCGGTCCCTGCTCTTGCCAACCTAGCAGTTCGAAAGCACATCTAAGTGCAAGTAGATAAATAGGCACCGCTCCGGCGGGAAGGTAAACGGCGTTTCCATGCACTGCTCTGGTTCGCCAGAAGCGGCTTAGTTATGCTGGCCACATGACCCGGAAGCTGTACACCAGCTCCCTTGGCCAATAAAGCAAGATGAGCGGCGCAACCCCAGAGTTGGTCACGACTGGACCTAATGGTCAGGGGTCCCTTTACCTTTACCTTTAAACAAAGCCTGGATGGTAATCTGTCAGGGATTCTTAAACTGTGATTCCTGCATTGCAGGTAGGTTGGAATAGATGGCTCTTGGGTTCCATTCCAGCTATGATTCTATAACTCATGCTTGCCAACTCTATGTTAGGCAATCAGAATCAAAGGTACGTGTATTTTTTTTACCTGTTAAGAAATTTCTCACAGAAGAACAGTAGCAGCTCCAAAATATTAATTAAATTCAATCGTATTGTGTGAAGATGTCTCAGTGACATCATGGGGTTAAATGACAGAAAAACACACATGGAGGTCAAGGTTTAAAGCCATCTAAAAAAATGAAGAAGTGAAGTCCTTCTGTCTAGGATCAACACAGGGCCCAGGTACCCTTGGTGATTACAGTGACTAATAGAGCATTTGGAAGAGTCATTTGCCCTTTGCTTGCCTTTGCGAACTTAGCTGGAAAATAAAGTGAAAGAGCCAGCTGGAAAACAGAAGATTTATATGAAAAGTACTTTCCTGAGTGTATACCTTACAATGTGTCAAACCCATAAATTTTACTAATACAGGCACAATCGATAGAGATTTAAAAGCTTTGGTTGGGTTTATTCCCCCTAGCGCTATGTTGCAGGCTCATCACACGTTCTGGAGAACCGAATTTCTGAGTTTTGTAGAAGGCGCATGGAAATGAATAAACATTAAACTTTCCAAGAGTCCCACTTCCACTACAATTCATCACAGGTTGTTGTAGTGGTACTGTAGTAGTAATTTTATTATTAGCAATAGAAAAACAAATCCCACTGCATTGTGGTAAAAACAATGGTTATATAATCCCAGCCAATGGCATTCAAATCTTATCAATAGTGGATGTGATGTAATTGTTTTAGTACTGGGCTTCTTCAATTTATTTAATTATGCAGCAATTGAATCCCACTTGACTTGTCTCAAAATGGGCACACATTGTACCCCTCCAAGCTCCCTAGAGGAAGAGCAGGACACAAATAAACAAGTGCCATGTTGAATTTCATGTGTTTAGATTTGGTTGTTAAAATCTGCATATCTGACAATGGTGAATCATTTGCTAAACATTACCATAAATTAAACACACCAAAAGGAGCGTTCTGTCTGTTTTTCTTTGTATCCTGTGTAGACCAGACCTTGTTAAAAGGGGGCTGTACATTCCCACACACCACCCAGGGCTGGTTTTCCATGAGGAAACCACTGTTAGCCATATTTTGGCAGGTGATATACAGGGGAGGCTCACAATCCATTGTGCACCCATGTACAACATACAACAACAGCCTTCATATCCATTAAGTCATTAGGGTTATATTTTAAGCACTGGTGCTGTGGTATGCATGATTTGCGTAACCAGTGTCTTCCCTGCTTTGCGGATGACTTCTTGAATTTTCACGAATGCTTTCGTGTGCATTATGCTAAAGTAGAAACAGACACGATACCCTGGAAGTCTCATTACCTGAAACCATTTGGGTTCGAAAAGCCAAACACATATAGACTCGCACACATCAGATTTCTTGACCAGGGCAAGAAAACTACTTCTATTTTGCTGCTTTTCAGAACCTTTTGCATAACAAAAAAAGCCCCCATACAAAATAGATCTGCTGAGATCTGGGGTGTTTTTATAACGAAGCCTGGTGTTAACACTCTGTCTCTCAGACACCATTTCACCATCACTCTGTATTGTTTTCTAATCAAAAGGGTCACCAAAGCACTGACTCTGAACAGTGCAAATGTGCAGCTATTTCCCCTCCTATCTGACAGCACATCTATAGATTGCTTAGACAGGCTGACAGGATACAGGGCTAATGACACATGAAACATGCGAAATCTTGGATGGATTATACAGTAAAATTTCAAATAATCCCATAAGGATTCTGCTTAATTTGAAGTCAGCTGTCAGGTAGTTAAGCTTCCTGTTTTAGCTTTTAAGACAAAAGGCTACAGAGATCTTTATTCTGTCTCGTCACACACACACACACGCCCCAAGAGTTTTCTCTCTCTCCTCTACCACCCTATTTGTTCTCCTACTAGCACATTGTAGATGCAAAAGATATTGGTCAAGAGAATGAGGAAAGTATAGTAGCATCAAAGGGGGCTCAGTTAGATAAATGGACATCTGTGACAGATAGCTCTTTGACACTGGAGTCACTAAACCTTGCACGCCTTTCTCACGGGAATGATCTGCAACTATTACAGTATCTCTAATGCATCTACGAACATGCAGCTTGAGACTCATTCACAGTCTGAAACCAGATCACATTTTACAGTGAAAAGACGAGGTCTTGAATGGCATGGAGTCCCAGATTGGTTTTTCTTATCACAGTTCTTCAATAGCATTAATCAGCTGTTTTATTTATTAAAGGTTCAATCTTTGGCCTCCGTGAATAGTTGGTCGTTGTTTCCCTTCTGCTTTGTGCAACCTGCTCCTACCAAGGTCAACACTAATTTTCAAACAAATCCTTCCTGGCAAAAGTGTCTCCTAAACTCTGGGAACAAATTTCATAGATATCTGTTTTTGAGAGCATCAAGAGCATATGAACAAGCTGAGACATTATTAGCCACTTCCCCCCAAATTAGAATTCCCTTCATTTGAGATTAAGAGTCCAAAGCAGCCCCCTTGCTAAATATTTTACATCTGTGCCTTCTTCCAGAGGAGTTTAACACAGTTTTTTCAATATATATTTTCAATCACATTTAAAATAAATTTAAATGCCACTTTTAAAATAAAGAAATTGGGAATGGAAGAAGGCTTATCATCAGTTAGGAATATTTGAAGATGCCATTGTTCCACCTAGCATAGCATTGTTTACCTTGACTGGCAATGGCTTTCCAGGGTTTCAGACAAGAATTTTCCCCAGGTCTTCCTTAAGATGCCGGGTATTGAATCTAGAGCTTTTGCTTGCAAAGCATATTGCATTAGCTGAGATCCTACTCTTGTCTTTCAAGCATACAGTATCTCCCAACATCTCTGTTATGTCAGTGAGCAGAGTACGGTTTCCACTAATGCACATCCTTTGCGAGGAAAAAAAGGTTGGAAGCTAGAAGACAAGCAAGACCACATGAATATCTCCCAATGTCTCTGTTATATCCAGTGCTTTTCTTCTAGGAAAAAAGAGATACCAGTACTGTGGGTACCCTTGAGTACCCCAGAAAAAAGGCACTGGTTATATCACAGAGGTACCTGTTTCTGCTGAAGACACCGGTGTGGCCTCCCTTGTCTTCTAGCTTACAATCCCAGCTAAGAGTCTTGTGGAGTGGAGACAGCAGTGGTTATTTCAGGGAGTGTTCAGGACGGAGAGGGACATCCTCCAAATTAATCTTAGTCCAGATGAACAGATATTGTAGAGGTGAACAATCATATTTAAAATTAACCCTTGGTCTAAAGCTCCAGGGAAAATGGGTTATGGTCCTCTCAAAGCATTTGGTGAACAATGGGTTATGGAACCTTATGGTAATGTTAGTTATATTTGGCCCTGAAAACAAAACAGCTATCACTAGTGGCAGCATAGATATTAATTAACTCTAATATTATAAGCAGTTAAAAGATTGGCATAGCAATTGGTACTTTTTACAGGCAACCAGACCCTTTGAATGTAAATATATCTACTTTTTTCTGGATCATTTATTTGACTGATATATACACATATATACCGATAATAGGCCCAAGCTACCTTATTTCATGCTTCCAGAGCATTCTGACAAATGCAGAAGACATGGTCTCAATGTCTTAAGGATGTGCTTCAAAACGGATTATTGATATTTCATCCCACAGCTCTCTTGGTGGGTATTGAGTATCAGCCGCCTCGAAGGTTGGCGCCAAGCTTCTTCTTCTGTGCACCACAAACCAGAATTAATTGCAAATCAATCGAACAAAGTACAACTGATCAGTAAACCAATTAGTAATTTTAGCTGTTCATCCTGTCTTCATTTACTGAGGGGAAAGAGGTGGGGAGAGGAGAGGTGATTTCTAGCTAGCATTTCTTTCTTGCTAACTGTGTCCTTGTAAAAATTAAAATTAAAGAGCCATTCATGGAGAGCTGAATGTCATAGCTGTTTCACATCTTACATATTTCTTTGTTCCATTTTTTATTGCATTTTGAAAGAAAATCCAAAATAAAGCCGAAGTACATAATCTTTTTTTCTTTTTTCTTTTGACACTTCTAGTTATCACTGAATTTTGTCAAAATATAATAGGGGCATGGAAGATTCTTGCTAGGATGGCACCAAATTCAAAAAGAAAAATTTCCAGGCATTTCATCCATCTTGAAATTACTATTTCTATTTTTGCTAAGCTTCCATAGGTGAGGTGAAATTATTTGGTGGTTAAAGAGGATCAGAGTGGCTTTTGTGAAGAAACCCCATTCTGGGATGTTTTCTGAATTTTGGGGAAATCAGAATGACAGCTGCCATTAAAAATGGCTGTGTCCTTGGGCACCCACTGCTGAGTATAATGCACAGCATAATAATATGAGAAAGGCCCTGCTAGAACAGACCAAATGCCCATCTGGCCTAGCATTGTGTTTTCGCAGTGGCCAAACAAATGTGTATGGGAAGCCTGGAAGCAGAAGACAGCCATCTTGCAGCCTGAGAGGTGATATGATAGCCAGAACCAATGGATTTAAATTACAAGAAGGTAGATTCTAATTAAACAATAGGAAGTACAGTGGTGCCTCGCAAGACGAAATTAATTCGTTCCGCAAGTCTCTTCGTCTTGCGAGTTTTTCGTCTTGCGATGCACGGTTTCCCATAGGAATGCATTGAAAATCAATTAATGCGTTCCTAGGAAACCGCCTTCAGACCAGGTCCGGGGACAGTCTGTCCCCGGACCTCTTCTGAAGGCTGGGGGGCAAGGGCTTTTCTTCCCACCCCCAGCATTTTAAAACCCCGGGACAGCGGAGGACTTCTCCGCTGTCCGGGCGATCTTAAAATGCTGGCGGGCGGCATTTAAAATCACCCCGGGACAGCGGAGGACTTCTCCGCTGTCCGGGGCAATTTAAAAGCCCCTGGGAAGGCAGGCAGGGGGACAAAGACTTTGCCCCCGCCAGCCTTCAGAAGAGGTCCTGGACCTCTTCTGAAGGCGGGCGGGGGCGAAAGTCTTTGCTCCCCCGCCTTCAAAAGCCCTCCGGGACAGGCAGGCAGGGGGAGCAAAGACTTCGCCCCCGCCCGCCTTCAGAAGGTCTTCCTCCCCCCGCCCGGCTCGGAGCACCGCTCCGGGCCGGGCGGCGGCGGGAGGTGTTCCCTCCCCCGCCCCGGCTCGGAGCACCGTTCCGGCCGGGCAGAGGCGGGAGGTCTTCCCTCCCCCGCCCGGCCTCGGAGCACCGTTCCGGGCCGGGCGGCAGCGGAGGTGTTCCCTCCCCCGCCCGGCTTCGGAGCACCGTTCCGAGCCGGGCGGCGGCGGGAGGTGTTCCCTCCCCGCCCGGCTCGGAGCACCGTCCCGAGCCGGGCGGCGGCAGCAGGTGTTCCCTCCCCCGCCCGGCTTCGGAGGAGCCTTCCGAGCCCGGCGGCGGCGGGAGGAGGTGTCCCCGCCCGCCGCCAGGCTTCGGAGGAGGTCCGAGGACAGTGGGAAGACGCGCTGCGCTTCCCGCTGTCCCTGAGATTTCCCTATGGGCTGTCGTCTTGCGAAGCAAGCCCATAGGGAAATTCGTTTTGCGAAGCGCCTCCAAAACGGAAAACCCTTTCGTCTAGCGGGTTTTCCGTCTTGCGAGGCGTTCGTCTTGCGGGGTACCACTGTACTTTCTGACAGTAAGAGCTATTCAGCAGACTCTTCTTCACTGGATATTTTTAAACAGAGGTTAGATAGCCATCTGTGATCAGTTGCATAGCATGGCTTGCCAGTAGCTGGGGCCACATGGAGGAGGGGTGGGAAAGAAGGAAATAGATGGACACACGTACATTCAACTGCCTACCAGTGTGAGCCAGTGTCGTGTAGTGGTTAAGAGCGGTAGTCTCGTAATCTGGGGAACCGGGTTCGCGTCTCCGCTCCTCCACATGCAGCTGCTGGGTGACCTTGGGCCAGTCACGCTTCTTTGAAGTCTCTCAGCCCCACTCACCTCACAGAGTGTTTGTTGTGGGGGAGGAAGGGAAAGGAGAATGTTAGCCGCTTTGAGATTCCTTAAAGGGAGTGAAAGGCGGGATATCAAATCCAAACTCTTCTCTTCTTCTTCTTCTTCTACCAATGTCTGCATCACCCAGGAGCTTGCAGCTGCAGAGATCTGCCCAGACACTGAGGTCCAGCACCGAGGGCCTTCTGGCAGTTCCCTCACTGTGAGAAGCAAAGTTACAGGGAATCAGACAGAGGGCCTTCGTGGTAGTGGCGCCTGCCCTGTGGAACACCCTCCCAGCAGATGTCAAAGTAATAAACAACTATCGGACCTTTAGGAGACATATGAAGGCAGCCCTGTTTAGGGAAGCGTTTAATATTTGATGAATCATTGTATTTTAATATTCTGCTGGAAGCCACCCAGAGAGGCTGGGGAAACCCAGCCAGATGGGCGGGGTATAAATAATAAATTGTTATTATTATTAGAAAAGAAAAATTGTTCCATTGTTTGGAGAGGCTACTTACTGGTTCGCATGGGGAAGTCATTTTCAGTGGAGCCCTATGACAGAAGTGTGCCACTGTATTGAGGCAGCACTGGGTGTTAACATTTTGCATCCCTAACACTTTTGGGCCCATGTGGACCACCATGCTACATCACTGATTCTGCATTGCTGAGTGTTTGACTAGGTGACCCTTGATGTCCCTTCCAACTCTACAATTCTGTGATTCTATGAAAGGCATGTTAAAAATGGTCAGATCCATTTGGACGGTTAATAGACACAAAAATATAGTATAAACACTGACAACTGGGAAACACTGGTCTGCGAGCACTCCAGCTGGAGAACAGCCTTTACCAAAGGTGTCATGGACTTTGAAGACACTCAAACTCAGGACGCAAGGGAGAAATGTGCTAAGAGGAAGGCACGCTTGGCAAATCCACACTGTGATCAACTCCCGCCCAGAAACCAATGTCCCCACTGTGGAAGCATGTGTGTATCCAGAATTGGCCTCCATAGTCACTTATGGACTCATTGATCGCCCAAAAAGAAGACACACGGACTGTATTGAACAGTAATGTATACTAATATAAGCTGATATCGCCCTGTTGAAATCTTCACACATAAAATGAATACACGAAGAAGTGGGTGTTGGTGGGTGAGACTGCATTGCTGACAAGTTGAGCTTAAGTCCTGGGCCACATTTCTCCGTTATATGGAGAAGATCTAAACAAAGCCTTTCTTTTCTCTGAATCAGGGAGTGGAAAATACGTTACGATGTTAATCACAGGCATCAAATATAATTTCAGCTCATCAAATTCTTTGGCATTCCTTGGTCCACTGCTCTATTGTATTTTAATGTGTTTATCACTTGTTTTCTTAGAGCATTTTTGCGAACGTTTTCATCATTCAAACATGTGTGCGTGTGTCTGAAATTTTAGACGTTCTTTGGGCTACCGGCGTACTTTGGCTTTCATCGTAAAGAAACCCGAGACACTCAAAATTGTCAGTAATAACTGATAAATAATACGTTCCTGCTAATGATTTAGTGGGGAAAAGATCCTTTAGCACAAAGCAATCTCCCGCTTGCAGGCGTAAAAGCTGGATGCCCAAACTGTGACTGACTGCAGCAGCAGCGGTCACCAGGTGATTGAAATTAACAGTTTTCTTTCAATTGTTCTAATTGAGTCCAACGGGAGTTCTGGAATTCACTAAAAAGTAGCTCAAGTTGCTGTCTTCTCTAGGCTCCGGTGACTCTGACTTTCACCTTCCACACTCAGTTTAGTCTAACTTGAAAACATCGTTTTAAAACATGCTCTCATATGGATACAACCTCAAAGAGAAATCTCTGCATTAGTGGCGATGAGTAGGGACCAATCTTACATTGGATATCTTACACTGTTGTTCACCTCACAATGCAGAGAGTTTAGAACACTTCTTATCAGATATTTCTTATCATATGAACCAAATTTTTAAGGAATTGCTAACAGATGCAGCCCACCACCTTTTCTTATCACATATAAGCCCTGTGCAGGTGTTACTTGCCTGAAGAGTGCAAATGTAGTCAAAGGGATTGCAGAGTCATATAGTCTAGCTTCCTGGCTGCCACATCATTGCCATCCTAGGCTCCTTTGGGAAGAAGGGCAGGATTTTATTTCTTTCTTTCATATACCACCCTATACCCGGAGGTTCACAGAAAAGATCACAAAAGATAAAATTAAAATAAAAACAATAACCCAATAACATGCCCCCTCAAAAGAGCCACATTTTAAAAGGGTATAGGATGTCAATCAAGTCAACCAAAGGCCTGGTTAAAAAGGAACGTTTTTGCCTGCCACTTAAAGGTATATAATGAAGGCGCCAGGCAAAATTCCCTGGGGAGAGCATTCCACAGACCGGGAGCCACTGCAGAAAAGGCCCGCTTTTGTGTTGCCACTGTCCGAACCTCTCGAGGAGGAGGCACACAAAGAAGGGCCTCAGAAGATGATCTCAGGGTCCGAGCAGATCCATATGGAAAGAGGCGGTCCTTGAGGTATTGTGGTCCTGAGCCATTATAATTGAAAAAATAAATTTATTCATTGGTAGGCAGACAGGGAAGCATGAGGCACTGTGAGCACAACAGCTGTAAACTGGATTTACATCACCCCTCCCAGTAAGCAGTAGGAACTCCACTGGCAGAAAGCCAGTGTGGTGGCCCTGCCCCACTGTGCTTATCTCCGCCTCTGAAGAAATTTGACAAGGTAACTCTGTTCAGCTTGTGTGTTGGTAGAAATCTCCCCCCTCTCCTGCCAATACCTTCAGTCCCAGGCCCCTTCAGCCACTTCTGCTTCTTTAGTAGTCATAAACTGCTGTTTAGATTCCCTGTAAACCACTTGGAGCATAAATCTATCAGTGGGAAACATGGTATATAAGTAAACTGACTATGTCTATACAAATTAGCTTCCCCCTGGTCCACATCCTGGTCAAACAAGGCAGAGCACAAGATTATTTAATCCTTTTGTATCACAAAGGTCTAAGTAGGCTTAAATCCAAGCACTTCATTTTAAATGTGCTGCTGATCTGGCTGCGAGATTATCAAATCATGTACTCCAAAGCGGTTCTACTTAAACCAATTGACTTTCTTCGAAGTAAGTGTTTCAGGATTAAAGCCATGATCATATCATGTCCTCTTTCTCTCTCGAAAGTGATTAGAAACACAGTATGCTGTTTTACAAGATGAAAAGTTAAGTGTCATTGCACGCTTAAAATAGAGCTTTAATTCCATTGCAGTATTTCTCATTTTAATTGTTAATTTAAACCTTACTAGGACAAGTAAATGGATACAAATGCATAATTCATTTGTTTGAAGTGTGCTCTTTAATAATGCAGCATTCAAATGATGATACATTAATCTGTCTTGCAGGGAAAAGTAAAAAAAACAAAAACAAAACAGCAAATGAGCTCATTTTGCATTTTCTGTAATTGCGTATTATGAATGGAATTGATAATTAAAGGTGTGGGGCTATCCAGAGAGGAAGGAATTCAAACTGTTTGGAAACATTTTTTTTCAGTGTCTTTGAAGCAAAAACAAATGCAACAAAATTAAAATGGCATGTAACTCCCCTGTTATTTAGTGGGGTTATTTCCCAAATAAGTGTGCATACTAAAGGTGAAATGAGTTTGAACCCAGTTTCCCCCACTTCAAAAATCCCTTGACATGTTTTCTGGGGGATTAGCAGTAAATCATCAAGAGGTTCTTGACTGCATGAGAAGAGCAACAACTAAAAGCCCCAAGAAAACTTGGGGGGGGGGGAGGCAGAAGTGGATTTTTCTGTAAAAGGACTGTAAATTTTGATCCTTAAACAAAAAACAAATTCCTGGGTCTGAGCATGATCTGAACGGCACTCTGTTCCTTAATGTTAAGTGTATGGGCGTTACGTGTTAAGATCACCAAAACTGCCTAGAAATAAATTCACACATGACTCAAATTTTAGTTTGAGGTTTGGCACAATTTTGGCCACAACTTTATTGATTACAGACTGTGATTGGTTTGCTTAGGTATTGGTTCAGACTATCTGAACCTGTCCCAGTCAGTCTAGGACAGGAACAGAACTGACAACTGTGAGTTGCAGAGACCAGTCAAGGTCAGCACCCCGGGAGATCAATTGGGATGAGTGCAGATCCCTAAGATCATACCCAGAATGCTCCCAGGGGCTCTTGCGCAGCCCTATCCTCCTTTCAGGGGTCGGACAAATGCATGGCAAGCCCCTGGATTCCTTTAATGGAATACCTACGCAGCAACCATTGGAGGGACAGGTCACAGTCACGCCTCGTCCCCTCCACACACATTAACCAATGCCTAACCGCAAACTTTACAATTTGCTACACAGTAGGCAAAACCCAGAAGGCACCAGCCAATCAGCCAAGTGGGAAAAATTCCTACCAGGCCCCTGCCCCCAAAGCAGACGACCCACAGCGGTATAGCAGGGTCAACACGGACCCTAAATATAGAGAGGGTGGATGGATGGGTGGATGAAGCAAAACAGAGGAATCTCAACGCAATGTGCAGCGGTATATATCTGTCCCTCGGAAGCAATTTCTGCAACCCCATTGGCCGGAACAAGTCCCATGCTTCCAAGGGACCAATCGGGTAGCTGTGGCAATCCAAACTTACCCACCCCAGCAACAGATAGTCAGTTGTGGCGACCTCACTGCGACACGTGCTCTCTGGGAGGAGAACCCGATTTCTTCAACTGAGCAGACTTATTGAAATTAATGAACACGACCACTTGCACCCACCACACCCCCTTCCTCCACCCCTGTCTCTGGGCCACCTCTGGTCCCTTTGCAGTCCAAGCATGGCTGAATGACTTGTATGAGGAAGCATCTCCTGACGTATTAAGCAAGTCCTCCTGAAGAGGTTCAGTTAAGGATTGCTTTGATCAGGTGGATTTTGGTAAGGGAAGATTTCGTTTTATTTATTCCACAATATATAGACCACTTTCCTGACAAACAAGTGCCCCCCCAAAGATCATAGCAGTATCCCATTAAAACCTAACACAGCTATTGAACTCAATAGGGGGTGTTCTGAATAGTCATGTATTGGCCTACACTGTCGGTTGCTCAGATTCCAATTCCTTCCAGGCTATATCACACTTTCCCATTGTGATCACCCTTTCTTCTAGGAAAATACCTTTGCAATGCCTCTGCGAGGGCTGCTGGCCATTTTCACAATCTTCACAGCTCCACCAAGTTTAAGGCTGTTGTTTAAGAGCCTATGGGATTCACACGGAATTGGGGAATGGAGCCGCTGAGATCCAGAGAAAGGGAGAGGGAGAAAATACTGCAAGGCAACCTCCCTGGCACTGAAAACTTCCAGACTTACTAGCCCTGCCACATTTGATTTACTTGGTGACATGAACATAAAGCAGAGTTACTGTGCCTTTTGCTGCGGACCACCATTCCTTCTTCTGTTCTGCACTACAGCCAATATACATCTGAATGAAATGCATAATTAAAGCTCTGAAAAAGTTATTTAAGGTAATTAAAAAGATAATTATATACAAGTGAGAGAAATATTGGTCATATAAAGGTGCAATGTTGTTGTTATTTTCAGAATTTGGCCTCGGCTGGGGTTTGTTTATTGAAACAGCAAAATTTAGGTGAAACAAGTCAGAAGTGCAACAAAATGTTGCAGCATGAAATGCTCAAACTAAGTCCAGCCAGCCAGCCAGCCAGCCAGCCATGCCTCTTTCCATGATACTCCATTCGATTCACCTTAACCCTTTTGCACCCTCTCCAACAGACACATTATATTCTGCCATTACTGACCACACTCAATCTTCATTGGGCTGGTTTTTTCTTTTTATGCCCCCTTAGGTATTTTTACTCATGCAGATTATTATTATTTTCTGCTTCTGCAAACTTTGGGGTTCCTTTGAGCATGCTGATACCTCGCACCTGTTTCTCAGAGGCCCCCCCTTTGGCTCCAATGCTGTCGGCACTCATCATCCGACTTCATTATTAGAGGGAGTGATTCCACAGATCTGTCAATTATGACTGCTGTTCTGAAACGTAAAGCTGCTTTATCAAAACCCACAATGCTTTTACCAAAATTTCAAGTGGTTTAGTGTTTCAGATGTTTCTTGATATTAAAAAAAGTGATATTGCAGGACAGGGCAAGAAGACAGGAGGTGGGTTGCGGTGAAATTAGTTGGAATGGTGTGAGAATGCAGGAAAAAAAGTAATCTGCATTCTTGCAGTATATGCATATTCATGGAGAGGCAACTTTTTTCCACGACAAACCACCATCTGTAAGCTCATCCAATTGTACAATGGCATCTTTTAATTAACTGTATCACTGTAATTCATAATCACTTGGCTCAGGGCATGAATTTGTCTGGCTCATAATGTTCCTCTGTTTTCTGAAGAGTCAGCATTAAGCTGACTAGGCAGTCAAAGCCAGATGCCTTGTAAGTGCATTTTATTGATGGGTGGAATCGCCAAGGTTCTTCCTAGAGTGGCCTGGAGATATTCTGGACTTTCAAGGGAGCAGGATCATTAAGGACCTAAATAATAATAATCCCAATCCAGTCCAAGGGTTTGGAAAGGTGTGCCCCCCCCCCAAGTCTGTGCCTGCAACCCTCCTGCATCTTTCTGCCACCTCAACCTCAAAACATGCCTTATCACCCAGAGGCGTAGCAAGGACAGGTGGTACATGATGACGATCGCGCCAATCTCGAAAATCCGCCTCCTGGGGGGTACAAGCGCCGCCACACTGATCCGCCCGGGGGGGTTGTTGCCGCCCCCAGGCATGACACCCGGGACGGACCGTACCCCCCTTTCCAGGGTTCTGACAGTAGCAGCAGTGCTGTCAAAAGTGCAGAGGAGGGTACATTTCCTACTTTCCCTCTCCTTCTCTTCCTCCCTCTGTTACTAGATATTACGTAATCTGCACTTTCCAAAACAATGCATGGACAAAAGCCGTCACCCATCAAAATTCGCACTTCTCCAAATTTTGCAATGCATTTTGCGCATAGTTGGGTGCTTGACAGCTGGTAAATACCATAGGATGACACTTCTGTTGCAAAATAAAATAAAAAGAAAATTAATTAGCTGCAAAATAGAAATAGAAATGAATATATTTATTGCTTTGTTTCATGGTCACTCGAAACAGCAGTGTTATCAAGTAATCATGGTTTCGTAAAGCATTGACCACACAGATGGGACGATACAAATGAAAGGATGAATGTTGCTTTGCTGTACGTTTTGAAGGACATTCAACATTTACTAGGGTTCTGGTTTCACAAACAAGAGCTTTGCCTAAGAGGAATGTTTTAGCTGGGAATGCTGAACATGTATTTGGAAGGTCTGCAGTGCAAATTGCATGGAGATGAGAGGCAAAAAACTGAATGCCAAAAAATTGTAAGGAAAGAAAGAAGAGAAATGGGTGCTGAATAAAGAGTGCTTGATATTGAAATAAAACAATTGAGCTATTGATCAGTATTTTTAAATTTTTGAGTCAACAACCTGCAAGGAATCTGTATTGACCTAACAATGGTTTCTGTGTGGGACCTTTTGTGTATTCTAAGTCCACCCATAAAACATTTGTGATAGGATTGTGCAAGAGGGGGAAATAATACACTACCCAAAACCAAAACATTACTCTGGGAACTCCCCCCCCCCCCCCACAATTCTTCTTAAAACCATATTGGTTTCCCTCAGAATAATCCAGAGACTTTGCCCAAGGAGACACAATCAAATTTCAGACAGATGCCTATGTTCCTGCATTAATGTGCAGTGCATGACCTGTGAAGAAGGGTTAAGCTCTATCATTTTATAAATTTCCAGAAATTGAATACAATTACCTTGAATACCCTACCTTATATGACTCCCAGTGATCTCAAACACCAGAAGTCACAAATATATTTCAAGTCACGGCAAGGGGGAGAAGCTCTGCTTACATCTTGTAAGTTCTTTAGCCCCTCATTCTAAGCCTTACACGAATCTTTTTAGCTAAAGTTTGGGACGAATGTGTTAAAGGACAATCAATAGGAACTGGAATTGGAACATCGTTTTTTAGTGAGCAAAGGAAGAAGAGTGGTCCATTGATTTGAACCAGACTCCTGTGCAAGGACCTGCGCAGTAAGAAGACAGCATAAGGTTTTCACCTGTCAGCACTGGCTTGATATTAGTTTCTCATCATGAGTGACAAGGGAGACTAGAGCTGGCTGCTGTTTCACACCAGACATTCTTTAATAGATGTGCTTGGAATAGCATATAAAGTTTCTGTTGTCAGGTGGTGTACAATTTAAGCTGCCTTATTTGCTTGAGGGGATATTTACACAATACTCCGGGCTGTTTTGCCACATGCATCCATGTCTTACACAAATTGCATTCCCCTCCTCTTCCCTTTGATCCTAGAAGGAGCAGCCAAGGATGTTAGTTTCGAAAGTTTCCTAGGCCTCTGGAAAAGAAAGAAAGAAAGAAAGAAAAGAATTAGTAACAAGATCCTGCTGCAGGCCTCACACGACCATGGCTGAGAGGCTTTTTATTCTTTGAGACTGGAACACATGTAATAACAAAATGACTCTTAATAACAGAAGAGCACATTATTGTGATGGTGATGATTTTTTTCCTTTATGAAAGATAATTTTAACTCTTTCAAATCTAGGCAAGCAGAGTCAGCCTTCAATCATTTCAATGGAATTCAGGGGAAGAAACAGCTCCTATTGCTTCCTCCTAGTGCTATCGGCTGATTATATATAATTATTATATAATTACAGTTGTACCATGCGGGGAACAACCCGCTCCTCAGGATAATCATGATGCTGACCCAAAGAGATCCAGGTATTTATGATAAAACTCTTGGTATTTATCTGTCTGGTAAAAGTGAGGGGTCAAGTGGTCAGAAAGTGCCTCAAGAAATTACTCCCCCAAAATGACAGCCTTGTGGCGAATGTTCTCGTTAGCTTTCTGCACCACAATTATAGTGGGAAAGGAGTGAATGAGAGAGCTTTGAAAGTTAAGAGGAAATTATTAATATTTCTTGAGGAGAAATGGAATGGAAAGAGCATTTTCTTCATATTTAGGTTTTTTCTGGGGGGTGTTAAGCATTATTTCTCCACTAGGAATAGAAATACAGTGGTACCTCGGTTGCCGAACGGCTTAGTTGTTGAACAAATCAACTCCCGAACGCCGCAAACTCAGAAGTGAGTGTTCCGGTTTGCGAACATTTTTGGGAAGCCAAACATCCAACGAGGCTTCTGTGGCTCCCCATTAAGTGCAGGAAGCTCCTGCAGCCAATTGGAAGCCGCATCTTGGTTTTCGAACCATTCTGGGAGTCGGTTTGACTCCCGAAATGGATTAAGTTCGACAACCAAGGTACCACTATAGTGCTGTCAAAATTTAATCCTCATGAAAACCAGTTTGGCTGAATGTGTTTAGTATTGGGCAAGGTGGATCTTGAAGACCTAGGCATCTTGCCCTGAGGGGAGAAGGGAGGGAGCAATGTAGCAACCTCCCTGCCACCAATTCCAGTGGTATCTCTCCTTCCCCAACTGTTACCACAGTGGCTTAGGAAGAACCATCTTGTCCATAGGAGGAGAGAGAGAAGCTGTTTGGTAAGATGCCCCAATTTATCTCCCAGGAGTGCCTCCTCCTTCCCCTCAACTGACACCACAGGGACTTCTGAAGAAGACTTGTGCTCCTGTTGACTAGGTTCTTTGCTAACAATGGTGTTTCATCCTTTGGCTGATGTATATACAGTGGAACCTCGTGTTACATACCGTCCCCCTTACGAATGCTTCGGGTAACGATCTCCACTAACCCGGACGTAGTTGCTCCTGGTAGTGAACCTGGGATGTGAGCGGAGGTTGTGTACTGGCAGCACGGCAGCAGCGGGAGGCGCCATTAGTGAATGTGCGCCTCATGCTAAGAACGTTTTCTGGTTACGAACGGACTTCCGGAACGAATTAAGTTTGTAACCGGAAGTACCACTGTACTATTATTGCTGAGTATGTTCATATTATGATGTTTTGGGAGCTGAATGGAAGTTTTATTTTCTAAAAAGTTAATTTATTTTCTAAATAGTTAATTTAGAACTAAAAAGTTAATTTATTTTCTAAATAGTTAATTCTCTGGGCTTGGATACAATACAATAATCACTGATGCTACCTGAGTTTATAAAAATAATCATAACAATTTATTACTCTGGGCTGCTTCCAACAGAATATAAAAAGCATAATGGAACATCAGAGATTAAAAACTTCCTGATATAGGGCTGCCTTCGGATATCTTCAAAAAGTCAAATAGTTATTTATCTGTTTGACATCTGGTGGGCACCAGTATCGAGAAGGCCTTCTGCCTGGTTTCCTGTAACTTCACTTCTCACAGTGATTAGGGTTGTCATATTTCAAAAAGTGAAAATCCAGACACAAAAGCGTTTTTTTGTTTTTGTTTTGCCCAAAGTTGCTGAGCTTTATTTTGCAAATTTTCAAAAAACTAATACTAAAAAAAGGGACGTTTTTGAGCTACTTTTAAGGAAATTCGCCAAAATCTATATGGGTTACCATACATCCGGATTTTTCCAGACAGTTCTGCAATTTCTGCCCAGACACTGTTTCTGACGGCCGAATCTCGGCTCCGTCTGGGAAAATCCGGATGTATGGCAACCCTAGCAGTGATGGAACTGCCTGAAGGCCCTCAGAGCTGGACCTCAGTGTCTGGGCTGAACGGCTGAGATGCTCCTTCAGGTATACAAGGCTGAGGCCTTACTTAACTGGCATTAACAACTGATTTCAGATGCACCAGATGCACCACACCTAAAGTCTCAGCAGGGGAATTCCTGGCTTACCAACAGCAAAAGGTTCTAAAATGTAGAACAGCAGCACAGAACTCCCGAACAACACCCATGTGAGTGTCTGGCTGGAGACAAGTGACACTTTTGGAAGGACCTGCCAAGAAAAATATGACCACAGTGAATCAGCCATTTGCACGGGCTTCAAATAAAAAACAACACTGGGCATCAATCCAGACTGCAAGCATTGCCATGCTCTGCTCCAAGCTAAATAATGTCAGGAAATATACAATGCTATGCAATTTTTAAAGAAAGAGGGGGAGGAGAGAGATGGAAAGACCACACTGCACTAAATCTGGTTCAGGAACTGTAACTTTTGAGTGTGGTTTTGTCCCCAGTTGCTGAACACTGGATTTATTGGTTCATTTATAAAGATACCAAGAGTTTCAGGCATATTATACATACCATATTACTCACACCATTTCATTTTTTTAAAAAAATAATGTTTATTAAGTTTTCAATTTTACATTTCAAAATAAACATTTAATGTACTTTAAAATATCCAGTGACTTCCCTTCTTCTCCTTCCATGGTTCATTTTACATATCATACATTCCTGCATATTTTACTATAACCATTCAAATCAGTTTTCCACTTTTACATCCATCAAAAATTATTTACTCTGTTGAATTTATTTTACTGCTTCCAGTGTTTTCAGCTGTATACAGTTATTTCCCATATATTCAATAAATATTTTCCACTCTTCTTTGAATGTATACTCACACTATTTCAAGTCACCAAGTACCTTCTGTATAGGATTCTTTAGATTTTATGAAGGCTTTGGGGGAGGGGGAAAGATCTTGACCTTTGGTGAGTTGTGTAAGAGACAGCAGTGCAGCGTAATGCGTTCCTCTCAAGAAACTCAGAAGATCTTCGCAAAATGACATATTTTGTTGTTGTTCTTTCTACATGTGGTTCCATTTGCTGCAGGGTAGATTTCAGAAATTTTGAAAAAAAGTGTTTTAATCCAACAATATCTGGAGTGCCATCAGCTTCCTCATCCCTTACCTAAAACCAAAGAACTTAAACATGCCTAAATCTGTTTTGGATTTAGAGCTAGGGCTGTGTGTGTGTGTTTGCATTTGTACATTATTCAAAGTTAGTATTGCTGTCCTAATGGTATAGTATTGCCTGTCTCTCTCTCTCTCTCCTGAATGATAGTTCTTTGTCTCTTTTGGCACTTCCACACCTTTTGTTTTTCTAGGGTCTGCAACTTTTATTATAATTAATAATAATAATAATAATAATAATAATAATAATATATTATTATTATTATTATTTATTATTTATACCCTGCCTATCTGGCTGGGTTTCTCCAGCCACTCTGGGCGGCTAGCCACTCTTTTTGCATGTGGCTTGCATAATCTTGATTGACATGTTTTTCAGTGTGTTCTCATGAGCATTGTTCCAACTGGCAATTGTGACCAATGGGGCTGGATCCATTTTGGCCCACTGAGAGAGGCTCAGTGATCTGCAAAGCCTTGGCTCGCCTGATGAGTGTCACGGTGCCATGGCAAAAGACTGGATATTAGGGAAGGGGGCAACAGAGAAAAAGTAAAGCCATCTGCTCACACTGCTCACATTTATTTCAGTGGGAAACTTGTCCAGTGAACATCAAGGTGCATTGTGTCCTTATTAAGGCTGTGTCTAGGGCTGTGACCCAACTGTAAAATGCATTAATATGGGTTCAGCCATATAGCTGCTGAAACATGCTATTCAACGTAACGGTAGACCTGGATGTCTTTTGTGGGTAGAACTTCAAAAAAGCATCACAGCAGCAGACAGGTGACTCTATTTATCCGACTGGCCAGTGTGCATAAGCCCCCCTAAGTGATATTTCTCAGAAATTAGAACCAACTACAAGAAATAGTCAATATTGTGCCATTTTTAAATTGCAGCGCTTGTCTATCAAATCCCACACAGGCGGAGATAAAAGCTCTTCTGTGAGCAAAAAAACAAAACGACAAAACAAACGCATGCACACATCCCCCCACCCCCCCACCCAATATTGCAACAAAATATTGAAGTGCTCTATTGAGGTGGAGATCTCATTAATTATTTGATTTACAGAAAAAGAGGACAGAGGGAAAAGAGGGCCCTAGCTAATGCCATGATGCACCATCTTGAGACTTAAGATCTTTTTAATGTATTCACTAGCGAGGCAGCTGAAAGGAGAAAGAGAGAACTGAATGGATCCATTAATTTAATTGAAGCCAGCCCTGACAACAGATAAAACATCTTGGGCCTTGCTTCTCTTCAACCCACATCAGTTCTAAAGTAAGCAGTCAATGATCCATATACACACACAAGCACACACATAGGGCTGGAGATACACATAGACTCTAGAGACTTCAAGGCCAGAGAATATCAACAGGCCTTCTCATCTTCACGCTGCCCTCACATAAGTATTTTGCATCTCTACTGTATGCATGCTCCATTGTGCAGCAGAACAATCCTGGGGTTAGCTGTAAGTAATTTGCTCCTCCTGGGGGAGGGGAAAAAGTTACATTTGGTCATTTTTTGCTGGCTTCTGAGAAAAGCACTCCAGCTCTCTCTCTGCCTTTTGAAAGATGGAAATAGAAACGGGAAATGGACTTTGCCTGGTCTTTGAAGCAGGTTAGGCGCTTGTCTTTCAGCTGCTCCCCCACCCACTCTCCTAAAAGAATTGTTGTTATTTCAGAGAAACAGCTCTGTGCTTCGGTCATTTCTCTTGTAATGCTCAGCAGAGTTTTATATGATCATAGTTGCATGACAACAGGTGGCTCAATAAAACTGAGAGTAATTGAATGTATTTTCCTATCATTTCATGAGTAAATAGAGATGTCACAATTAAAGAAACCTCAAATGATGGATTTTTTGAGCAAAGTAGTTGATAAATATATTAATATGATTTGCAGAAGATGACATGGAGTGAATGCCTCAGCTAAGAGGAGGAGAGATTTTGGCCAGTTCTCCATAGCCAAATTTACACAGGGACTGGGTGCTAAAGAGGGAATTTGCAAATGTCAGATCCAGCTAGAGTCCCATGCATAAGCAGTGGCTCCACCTGTTTGCATATGACATGGATGGGGAACTTCTCGGTAGTGGCGCCCACCCTGTGGAACACCCTCCCCTCAGATGTGAAGGAAATAAGCAGCTATCCTATCTTTAAAAGACATCTGAAGGCAGCCCTGTTCAGGAAAGTTTTTAATATTTAATGCTGTACTGTTTTTAACACTTGACTGGGAGCCGCCCAGAGTGGCTGGGGAAACTCAGCCAGATGGGCGGGGTATAAATAATAAATTATTATTATATTATTATTATTCAGATGTTGTTGGGCTACAACTCCCATCATCCCTGACTGTTGGCCATGTTGGCTGGGGCTGACTGGAGCTGGAGTTCAACATTTGGGTAACCACAAGAAAAATGTAGCATATTAAAAGGCTAGAAATGCAAAGATTATTTTAATTTCAATACAGTCCGCAATCTCAAAGGTTTGGGGGGCAGTCTCACTGCTACATTTCCAGTCAGTGCACATGCCATAATCTCCTACGGAAAACCTGTAACTATGCCACAAATGTTCTGCTTTGTTTTTGTCTCACTTTTGTCCCACCACAGCCCTTCCAGACAGCAGTAATCCGGTAGCACAGAGGAAGTATCACAGAAGAAAGAAAAACAGAATAAATTCACCACAAATGTGCTATTGTCGTGTCAAGCAAATGTTGCAGAATACACAGAGCTCTAACCAGCATGGGGATCTAGGCTAGAACCACCCATCACATGCAACAAATTGGGACTGCAGTTGGATTGGGACCATGAACTTGGTGCGTGGGGCCTCAACCCATATTACAAAAGCATAGCTAACAGTGAAATCCAAGAGTTGTTTACACAGAAGCAAGTCCAACAGAGTTCAATCGTTCTTACTCCAAGGTAAGTGGCTATAAGATTCAGGCCTACGTATCTTGATAAAATGCATGAAATATTTTCCGCTTCCCTTTAGATAAGGGGTTGGGGAACCTGTGGCCTTCCAGATGTTGTTGGACTCATCTCCCTTCGCCCAAATGGCTTTATGGATGATGGGGGTTGTAGTCTAGCAAAATTTGTAGAGCTACAGGTTTCCCACCTCTGCTTCAGATGTATACAATAATTTGAAATGTTTGATAGCATATAAATGCCAGGTGCACGCTCTTAATATTGCCTCTGAACACCTGATGGCATAATTGAGCAGGATTTTTTAATAAAAGGTCACTTGCTTGTATGAACCAATTGTGAATTATATTAAAAGTGTTCCTGTGATGATTTTGTATGGACAGCTCTTGGAAGAACAGCTGGAATCCTATGTTTATTATACACGAAACTTGTTTCAACAGCTCCTTGGTAGCTAAGCCTGCTGTTTTGCAGGATGCTTGTACAATAACTGGTTGCTGGAAGCCAAGTTGAAATGAAGCAAGCAAGCTCAGTCTAGTAAGAAATGAGTTTGCAGAGAGGATCCATATTAAGGTTTCTCACAATTTGGCTCCTGTTCTACCTTTTCTTTCGTGATGTCGCTATGCCAAACTCTAAACCCACAAAGAAAAACCTCATTGCATAGTGCAGTCCTTATTGGGAGAAATTCAATCTTTGCTTTAGCTCAGGGCCTTGTAAATAGGAACAGTTGGGATGAATGGTGCCTTTTCTGTTCACCATCTTTCAGTACCTCCGAGCATTAACCTTTTATTTCCCAAGGCCATTCTCTCGAATGCAGGCAATGGATGAATGAGAGTGGTTTTCTTCCCTTCGATTCAACAATTGTGTGTTCATCTTGCCCATCTCTCCTTGCATAATTACAGAAGTAGTACATATGCCAATATCTGAAGGTTTTGTCAGCACTGCTATTATAAATTCTAATTTTCAGGAGTTTATAATAGGCTTGTGCATTTGGCTGGAACGGAAGGCAGATGAAAATCAGGCTTGTTGTTGTAACATTGAATCCTAAATATGAATAGTGATTTGTTTCAGGTCGGGCCAAGTATTTGGCAAGAAACAGAAGCCAAAAGCAAGCGAGCAAAATTGAAGCAAAGGAAAGCCAAGAATGCTTGAACATTATGTAATGTTAAAGAGCCAAGTAAAAAACAACAACAACAAACAGAAGCTTACTAAATAATGTTCAATCTTTACTAGGTTTTCAGAGAACTATGAAAAATTCAGTTGTGAGAGATGGTTTGGCCTGTATCTCAATTCACTGGGTGGAGGGCAGGACTACACAATATGTGACCCAGGAAGCATTGTGGACTGCTAAGTGCTTGAAAACACCTCTTATTTTCTAGTCCATGATATCATGGAAAGCTGGGAAATCTAACCAGGACTTGGAGGAAAAGTGGGACCTTCCAGGATCAAATCAGAAACCGGGATGGCTTTTGTAAATCTGGGACTGTCCCTGGAAAATAGGGACACTTGGAGAGTCCCCATTTTATGTAATGTTTTATGTTCTATGTTGTGCTATGTCCAAAATGATATAATTGAAGCTTAATAAATATTCCTAGTCCTATGCGAGATAAACAGATAAATATGATTCAGGTTAATTTGTCCATCATGCCTGTATTTCAACCAAAGGGTGAAAATAAAGTTTTTGCCAAAGAATGAAAAATCAGGCAAGTAAGACCTCAAAACAGTTTGTGTGTATTTGCTGTAGCACTTATTAGTTGTAGCTGTTTCTTTATCAGAGGTTCCCCCTTTCCTCTTCCTGCTGCTGCTATGTTCTCTTGAATAGAACTAGCTCTAAATGAAAAGTGTTTTACATGTAAAAAATGCATATGCATCGCTCATAACTTTTGTTGCTTTGCAGCACAGCTCCAAATGACTCCAAGAAAATGTAAATTATGTGTGTGGCCTGAACACAAGGGCAAATTGGTCACTGCGTGCACCAGCTAGCACATGCACACACCCCACACAAATGCACACGCACATATCCTAATTGCATAAATATGGTTGCTGCCAGCCCTCTGAAAGGTTATAATGGTTTCAAATGTACCTTTTGAGAACAATTGGTTGAATTCACTATTTACGGTATAAAGATGGGTGTTCTTATTGCTGTGTCCCATTAGCATTACGCCGGTTGATGACACATCCATCATACTTGTCAAATTATTCATGGCCTACTTTTGTGCTGTACTTTCCTCTCTCATGCCTTTCCATACTGGTATGGGAATAGGTTGCTATGGAACCAGACTTTTAAAAAGAAGTCTGTTTATAGGTATGGTACCATTCTTGGACACGGTGTCCTGTGTAATTGCATGACTACATTAAATATATATGTTCTTTGAAATACTAATATGAACTACAGACATGTTTTTTTTCGTGCGGGGGAGAATAGCTCAAAGATTTAACTGAAATGATTTCATCATCATTACTGAGCTATTTACATTCAGAACACCCCCTCCCAAACCCAATACTTAGGGATTAAGAGATACTGGAAGTACTTTCATGGTGTTTTATTCTATGGTGTGGGATGAGGATCAAAAGGAAGATAAAGTAGCATGGATATGGCCAAAGTAGGTCTACAACTACCAAGGAATTTTCAGATTAATTCATTCATTACATGGCACAGACCCTCCTGTCCCAATTTTCCAGGGACAATCCCAGATTTACAGAAACCGTCCCGATTTCTGATTTTATTCCAGAATGTCTCGCTTTTCCTGGAGACCCTAAGTCAAGGAGATAAGGGACTATACAGCCATTAAAAAACCATCTGAAGGCAGCCCTGTATAGGGGAGTTTTTTTAATGTTCACTGTTTTATTATGTTTTATATATACGGTGGAAGCCACCCAGAGTGGAAGCTGCCCAGAAGTGTTGGAGGGTATACATGGCATGCTACCAATTGGTAGAAGAGGAGTTACTCCTGATTTCTGTCACCTCTCTTTTAAAAAGAACGGTGTGTATGTGATTGTGGTTTCTTTCAGACAAAAAAGGGATGTGTTTCTTTTTTTTTCTTTTGCAGCAGCAGCCAGGCACAATGGCATCTTTGCAGGTTCACATTGGCTGACTGCCATGTTTTTGGATAAGTGAATGATAGGAAACCTTTTGTACATGGATATGTTACAGATAAGAAAAAATAAAAATATGTGCTTCTGATGCTTGTTTTTCAGATTCAGGGCATGCATAGCTGATTGATACAAACGGCATGTGCAACTCAATATATGCATAATCTAATTGAATGCTCATTGCTAATTTCCTCAATGTATGTTTGTGTGTTACATAGCTTTTTGTATTTGATGCATTAATTTTACTCCTTTTAAAAGCCAACATGAATGAAACGGCTTTACAGAAAACTGAACCACGGTGTGCTTGGGGAATGCATGTTGACTGAGATTCCCTTCAGTGTATGTGTGTTGTGTGTGGTTTTTATGAAACCTGTTTATAGGACTGACCTGATTATGCAGACATTTAGAAGTCTGCGGATACAAAGAAGCCATGCTTTATTCTTTATTTTTAAAAAGGTTGTTTGCATTAAACACTGCTGTGCAGTTTGCCTTCATCAATCACTAGACCAAGAATGAAAAGTCAAACATATTTTGTTGATGAGCTATTCAGGGTGGTAGATAGAGTGTCTCTCCAGTCACCGCTCCATTCAGTACAATTTATTCTCATCACAGTTGAAAGATTGTTTAGTTGGACTAGGGAAGAGAAGGGCTCGCCGTGGCTAATCCTGAATTATTGCACCAATTTTTCTGCCTTTTCCTGAACACGGTATGAGACTTCCCCAAGCTTTGAATCAACTTCAGGTTTTGTTTATGTCTTCCAGACAGAACCCCCATCTTTCTTGTGATATTCAGCACATGGAATTTGTCAGCTTAAGCTGTTGACATGACCCTCATTGCCTAGGAATCCATCACCAAAGAAGAGGAAATGGTGTCACCTGACAGTGTTCTCACCTGAAGCAGACAAGAGGGCCCATTCTTAGCAAGTGCAGTTTTATTGCTCTATAGTGGGGAGAAATGTAAAAGTGGAAATCTTTTTAAAGTGGGTAGTCTTTGTTCATCCCCATATACTAAAATCTGGGATTCCATTGCATAACTGGGTCAGGTTTTAAGGTCTCCTTTCGCACTTGCAAAAATGATGCTTACATTAGGGCCATTTTTCCCTCATGCGTATGATGTCAGCTCATTACTTAGGTATTCGGTTGGCACAGATCATATAAGAAAAAAGGTGTAGTGTGTGTTCGCGCGCTTGCGCGTTTGTATACACACACACACTCGCACTTCATTAGATTTAAAACTACAAGTGACATTTCAACATTTCTATCCATGTGTGGTATTTAAATTCTAATGCATTTTTTTTCAGAGTGTAAAAAGACGGTGCTTTTATGGCTTGCTGTTTTGAATGCACCTTGATTTTAGTAGTTTTAGTTAGCCCCACATGTATGGAATTGGGGTTCAGATCTGGGGATGTGGGTTAAAAAAATCTGCTGCTTCTGTTGCATCACATCACTGCTCCATGTCACTTCTGATTTAATGACTATATGCTGCAAAACTGCATCCTTTTATAGTGTCACAATACTGCCACGCGTGTGCAATGGCCTGTTTAGTAACCACCCCATGGCATATTCCGGAAAGGGTACATTACATGTTGTGCATCAGGGTGTGGGGCGAGCGTCCCAGGGGGCAAGATGCCCATGGGGGGTGGAGCAAACCACCCATGGCAGGCTGCTTCCGGGGGGGGGGGAGGTAGCCACAACGCTTTGCCAGCAGCCTTCCTCCCTTCCCTCTTCCTTTTGACAGCTCGGGGGAGGCTTCCCCCCCCCCAGGAAGCAGCCCGGGAGCAGGGGGCAACAGTGCGCCGGCCACTCACGACTCCCAAGCCTCCCTGAGCTGCCGAAACAAAGGGGGGGGAGGGGGAAGGCCGCTGGCAAGGCGACGCAGCTCTGCCCCTTCCCCCGATGGCTCGGGATGGCTTGGGAGTTGCAGGCTGGCTGCGTGCCGAATGTCACCCCCCCTCAGTGATGACACCTTGGGTGGACCGCCCCCACTGCCCCCTTCATCTGCCCCTGCAGGGAGGGACCTCCTCTCCCCTCCCTGACATGTAAATGTATATTAGGCAGTACCAGTATAAATTCAGATGGTAATGCCACCGAGTGGGCTGGTGCTTTGTTCAATAAACAACTATCATATATATATATATATATATGTATATAATTTTATTATTTTCTTTCATAAAACATAAGATATAACCACATTACAATAATCAATCAAATGCATTTGCTCCGCCGAGCTCGTGACTTCCCTCCCTCCCTTCAACTGGTTTCCTGTTTCCTCATAAATTATACACGCCTTTCTAATGTCAGTTTCTGTCCTTTAATACATATCAGATCCTTCTATTGTTTATGGTCAGATACTAGTTATTACACTATGTTGCAGGATTTATGTCCGTCCTGTTAGTGTCTTCAAATTTTTACACTAATCTCTTAAATACTCAATAAATTTACTCCAATCAATAAACAACTATCTGACTTTTAGAAGACATCTGAAGGCAACCCTGTTTAGGGAAGTTTTTAATATTTGATGTTTTATCATGTTTTTAATATTCTGTTGGGAGCCGCCCAGAGTGGCTGGGGAAACCCAGCCAGATGGGCGGGATAATAATAATAATAATAATAATAATAATAATAACTACTTACGACTACTACTACTACTACTCCTGAACCACACTCTCAGGATAGGTGGCAGCAATAATATACACTGCTGAGTATGCTGCAAGTTCATACCAGACACGATCTTCTGCTTCATATACTAGACAATGCAAAAACACATGGAAACACCACGCTTCTATAATATGACAAGAGCTCTTCTCGGCACTGCTACCAAGCCATTAATATGGATGAAATTTCAGATTAATTTTGGCAATGACAGTTTTAGAAATGTTCAGAATGAAAGAATGAAATAGGGATTTTAAGTAAGAAAGAAAGAAAGAAAGATGAAAAAGCTACATAGAAATTAAGTGTTAATTATGGTGGTGGGTTTTTTTTTTGTTTTTTTGAGGAATTGACAATAGGAAGTTCTGGGCACTTATGGCACTTATGGGATTCATTGCAACAGGATATGCTGATGGCCATTAGCTTAGATGGCCTTTAAAATGATTGCAATGGGGAAAGGTGGCAGCAGAAACAAACAAGGAAGGTAAAATAAAAGGCACAACCCCAAAATGTTGCCAAGAAATGGTTGTTTTTTTAAAAATCAAATGTGGTTCTTGTAAAATACTAAAAGGCCCAAAGTTTTTCAGTTAATAACAACCTTCTGTGGGCGCACTGAAAAAATGAACATATAAATTAAAAAGTAAATCAAAATACAGGTAAGTATAAACATGCACATTAATTACAAAGAAGGCAACAGCTCCCTAAACCCTTGATTTAACACAGACGCTACAGGGAGATGATGATGCATTTTCAGTAAGGTCAGTAGTTCTTAAGATTTCCAGTACTGTAAGTGGGGATACCTGAGGATTTCATTTGGTCCTAATTCGTAAGCAGACTAGCCGGATTTGCACTTTGTGGTCAAATGTGCAGATTGCAGTAAAGTTATCCTTTGGTTTCCACACATCTCTGAATTTTATAATATTATTGGCTCAAAAGAGTTCCCAAATTCATTTTTATATGCGTATTTCAGGTAAAATGTCTACGAATTTGCACATCTTAAAGTGCAAAATAAGTGCATACAATTCACATTATCTCATGGTCTTTAAGTGTAAAGGAGATAAGATGCAGTGAATTAATCTATTTGTCTGTAAGCATATTTGTATACCAGAATTTCATTATAAATGATCACAGCAGTTTTTAAACAATTATAATACCTTAGAAACAACACTAAAATTAAAATATAGCACTAGCTGACTATTATGAAAAATATGCATTCTTGTCTGCATAAGCCTGGTGCCAAAGAAAAGTTTTCAGCAAATGTTTGAATGTTAGCATAGGCAACTCCCTATTTATGCGGGGGTTGCTTTCTAAGGCACCACACTTGTCAATAGAATGTGTATAAGCCCGCCCTGTTCTGCCCCCCACCTTGCACTGCTGAAAATGGCACATGGGTCAGTGGTCACACGCTTGCCAATTGCACGCAAATGGGGAGTTGCCTGTATAGCAGGCTGAATCTCCCGAATTTCTATTGGAAGAGCATTCCACTGGAGTGGGCAAATAACAATGAAGGCTGTGTTTCGTGTTGATGTCAAAAGAGCCTCACCAATTTGGGGGAGAACCAATAACATACAGAGGTTTTCAGCAAACACTTTGGAGACTCCTAGAGATGAGCTCAGTCACTATTTATGAATGAGCATGTGCAAAATTGACATGTACCAGAAACAGACTGATCTGTCATCCCTACAGATCAAGAGATTTTTATTTACAGAATGTCCATTTGTCTTGGATGCCTTCTGAGGGATCACTGCTGCTGTAGGAATGAGCACAGGAGATAAACTTCCTTGCAGAGAGTGGGCTTCTTCGTTTTACACTAAGGACATAATTAGATCACAAAAATGACGTGACAAAAGGATAGTCCTTCATTCAGACAGTACATGAAGCAGATGAGAAATATCCCACCTTTGACTTTATTGCGTAAATCATTTTCTGTCAATATAGTTGTGACCATTTTAATTACACCGTCATCTTTCCACACACCAAGGCAACGAATCTACTGCTACTTGCTTTTGGAACTCAAGTGGAAAAAAATTGTAATTATTATTTGCTTAATCAGTTTCAGTTCATTTTTCTCTGTTTGACATTCCCTTTCCAAAGTGAGCTAACTGATAGTTATAATGCACCTTTGGGCATGGTCATGAAGAGCATTAGTTAATTGTAGATTTGATTTCAGAACCAGGTACATTTACACTCTGATTCCTGAACAGTAGGCTTCATAGTTACACATAATGAAAACAGCTAGGTACCAACAATTCAGCAATATACCAGCAGCGCGCTTGTCTAAATTTGTTTCTTCCACCGCTGCAGATAGAAATGAGGATTATTTTCAGGTAGGTTCATCTTAACAGATAAAATGGACAAGCCCACCGAAACATGGCCTTCCACTCTTTCTGAAATTCACCCCCACAAGAAGTAGAGATGGCCACCAACTTGGATAGCCAGGGATTCAGGTGTTGTCCATCTGCTTTTTTAAGGAATCAGGTTAATATGTGTGTATTTTGCCAAGCTTATGGTTTTGGCCAATGTAAGAGATAAATTGTTGCTAGACTAAATTGTTGCTAGACTGTGTAAATTTCTTCTGTCTTGGTATTTTGATGTTTTGTTTCGATAACTATTCTGCATTGTTGGTTTTTATGGTTCTTGTATTGATTTGATTTGTATTTGATTTGATTTGTTATGTATCGCCCTGGGAAGGTTTGGGTTGAAGGGCAGAGCACACATTTAATAAATAAGTATCAGTAGTAACACTCTCCTGCTCACGATCCTCTGTACCCATTCAGTCCCCATCCCCCCATGAAACCCAATATTGAATGGCAGTGGCTGTTTCACTTCACCAGCTGTCTGATCCTTTAATCCTGAAGATGCCAGGGATCAAAGCTCGGACCAGTGCTTTTTTTCTGGGGGGACGCAGGGGTACGCATACCCCAATAAAGCAAGATGAACGCCGCAACCCCAGAGTCGGTCACGACTGGACCTAATGGTCAGGGGTCCCTTTACCTTTAGGATAATGAGAGTACCCCAAAACATTTATTTTTTTAAGAAAAAAAGCACGGGCTAGGACTATGTGGATGTTCTACTGCTATGCTATGATCTCTTTCCAAAGGAAGCAATGCTCTTTCCAGAAAGCCGGCTCACTGATTCCTGTTACTCATGTTCTAGAGTAGCAGGCCCAGAAATTGGGTATGGGCGATGTTGAAAACAGAGGTATGTTTTAAGGTAAGAATGATGTAAGTGAGATGTGTCTCAGCCTTTTTCACTGGAACAAATCTTACCACCTTCTTCCTTGTCTATATATGAGCCAAACAAACTGCTCTTCCATCTAAAGCAACTTTTCCCAAACTAGGGGTCATCAGGTTGGACAAGGATGCTCCCCAGATAAGTCATCTTTAC